ATCGTGATATCTATGAGGCTGTCACTGGTACATGAGGTGAGATGAAATGTATAATGCCTTCACATGCCTGTGACTGCTTATATTTGTCCGTACATATGCCACAGTTTAACATGGATACCTCACTCAGATACATTAGGACTCTGAACCAACCAGTCCTTCATTATCCCCCGAATGCCAAGTGCAAAGCAGGGTAACAAGGAGTATTATTTTTTAATGTCATTTGGTATGGCACGATCAGGGGATTGAACCACAGATTCCAGGCAGATGCTCTTTTCACTACACACAGAGATGGTCTTCACCCTATGTTACTGAGTGAAGTGTGTGTGAGTGAGAAAGAGATGTTAAATTCTCTTAAGGTTGATGGTGCATATTTCCTTTTTTCATACAAAAACTTAAGGTTTCACAATCAAAGTTCATTATATGTGAAAAAGGAGACATAGGGAGGGCATGAAAGAGGGGGAAAATAGGAGGGGGTGGGGTGGTGGGGTGGTGGGGTGGTGGGGTGGTGGGGGTTGATTGGGTTAACGAAGGGGGGGTGAGGGGCATGGAAACATATTGTGCGGAAGAAATTCTGAGAAATCCAGTAGAAACATGACCACAAACAGTGTTTTTCACAACATAATTCAAATGAGGTATTGATTATGCTTATAGCTTGGTTAATGGAAGGGAGATAACTCTCAGTATTGATAAATCAGTACGCCCACAATCAAATGACAAATCAATGTAACAAATATCTTCCCTAATCTAATAGTGAAACTGACAATATTTATCATATATGCACAAACAGACATGTTTAAGTAAACCTATGGAATTCGATATACAAGTATAAAAAGTAAACATGAAGGACAGATCATGGCGAAACTAACTAAGAACACAACATATGCTTCTATAGTTCATTTTGTTATTATTTCCCCTCTCATAAAAAACAGGTCATATACAGAATCAGATGTCTCACCATAGCATCATGAAATATATCCCATACAGTCACTAGACACTTAAAACAAGTCTGTAGCATAAATCAGTGGGCTGATGCCTCAGTCTACCAGATTTATTGTTAGGCAAGTACATTTTGCAGATTGTATTCTGGTTGGTCATGTAAAACCAACAGCTGCACTCAAAGTAAATGACGCCAAAACATGTTAATCACATTCAAAAACGAGGATTGGACAGGTTACTTCACATTCTGTTTGAAAAATTGTCTAATTTGCGATTTGTTTTTGTCTGGGTGCATTTCTAACTAAGAATGGACAGCTCCTTATATGTATATATGCCATGCCCAAAAACAATGTACTCCAATGTATATCAAGGCAATATCCCATATATCAATACTCTCCCTATATCATGTATATGTCAATGCACTTCCCTATATCATGGACATGTCAATGCACTTCCCTATACCATGTATATGTCAATGCACTCCCCTATACCATGTATATTTCAATGCACTCCCCTATATCATGTATAAATCAATGCATTCCCTATATCATGTATATATCAATGCACTCCCTTATATCATGTATAAATCAATGCATTCCCTATATCATGTATATATCAATGCACTCCCCTATATCATGTATATATCAATGCACTCCCCTATATCATGTATAAATCAATGCACTCCCCTATATCATATATATATATATCAATGCACTCCTGATATACCAATGCACTCCCCTATATGTATATATCAATGCACTCCCTATATACCAATGCACTCCCCTACAGCATGTATGTATCAATGCACTCCCCTACAGCATGTATATATCAGTGCTCTCCCTTACGACATGTATACAGCAATGCACTCCCTAACAGCATGTATACAGCAATGCACTCCCTAACAGCATGTATACAGCAATGCACTCCCTAACAGCATGTATACAGCAATGCACTCCCTAACAGCATGTATACAGCAATGCACTCCCTAACAGCATGTATACAGCAATGCACTCCCTAACAGCATGTATACAGCAATGCACTCCCTAAAAGCATGTATACAGCAATGCACTCCCCTATATCATGTATATATCAATGTACACCTACATCATGTATATATCAATGTACACCTACATCATGTATATATCAATGTACACCCACATCATGAATGAATGAATGAATGATCTTTATTTCCTCCATTAATTTCGGAGAGTGATATAGGATATTCCCCTACAGCATGTATGTATCAATGCACTCCCCTACAGCATGTATATATCAGTGCTCTCCCTTACGACATGTATACAGCAATGCACTCCCTTACAGCATGTATACAGCAATGCACTCCCCTACAGCATGTACCGGTATATATCAATGCACTCCCCTACAGCATGTATATATCAATGTACTCCCTTACAGCATGAATACAGCAATGCACTCCCCTTTATACAAATGCACTCCTCTATATCATGTATATATCAATGTACACCCACATCATGTATATATCAATGTGCACCCACATCATGTATATATCAATGTACACCTACATCATGTATATATCAATGTAAACCTAAATCATGTATATATCAATGTACACCTACATCATGTATATATCAATGTACACCTTTTTGTACACCTACATCATGTATATATCAATGTACACCTTTTTGTACACCTACATCATGTATATATCAATGTACCCCTACATCATGTATATATCAATGTACACCTACATCATGTATATATCAATGTACCCCTACATCATGAATATATCAATGTACACCTACATCATGTATGTATCAATGTACACCTACATCATGTATATATCAATGTACACCTACATCATGTATATATCAATGTACACCTACATCATGTATATATCAATGTACCCCTACATCATGAATATATCAATGTACACCTACATCATGTATATATCAATGTACACCTACATCATGTATATATCAATGTACACCTACATCATGTATATATCAATGTACACCTACATCATGTATATATCAATGTACACCTACATCTACATCATGTATATATCAATGTACACCTACATCATGTATATATCAATGTACACCTACATCATGTATATATCAATGTACACCTACATCATGTATATATCAATGTACCCCTACATCATGTATATATCAATGTACACCTACATCATGTATATATCAATGTACACCTACATCATGTATATATATCAATGTACACCTACATCATGTATATATCAATGTACACCTACATCATGTATATATCAATGTACACCTACATCATGTATATATCAATGTACACCTACATCATGTATATATCAATGTACACCTACATCATGTATATATCAATGTACACCTACATCATGTATATATCAATGTACACCTACATCATGTATATATCAATGTACACCTACATCATGTATATATCAATGTACACCTACATCATGTATATATAAACACACTCCCCTGTATAACTGTCATATAACACATCAGTGCAGTGAGATTGTTGAAAGATTGATTACAAATAATGTGGCAAACCTATTATCATTCATACCATACAATTCCTCTAAATTGCATTCAGTGGTAATACATTTCAGAGCTGATGGCATTTTGTCAAATATCTGTGTAGATTAAACCCCCATTTTACACATGTCATCAACATGCACATTTAGTTGTTTATCTGTGTTTGATAAAGGGACTTTCATTACACAGAGCAATGAACAGGGCCTAACATGTGTAATGACTGCTTTAAATAATACACAGGAGGAGCATTCTGCATGTTTGACAACTCAGGCCTCAAAGTTGCGACTAAAACGGTCGCCAATGCGACCTAAATTTCAGTTTGTCTACTGTCTAAAATTCAGAGGTAGCTAAAAGACTACCTGGAAAAATATCTTTTGGCAACTAAATTCAGTTGCTACACATCTGTAGACACAAAAATAAATAACAGCTGATCTTGTAAAACATGTCTGCTAATAATTGTACTCGCAAATAATTCCCCCTAAAGTCGACAATTAACCGAAATACATAAATATTAATGTAATTAGTACTTTTTTATAGCTGACAATGCTCATTGGATAGCAAGTCTGAAGGGTATACCTATATAATCTAGTAACATAAATTGCATCATTGTTCGAGTCACAAGTAACAAAAACAAGTACAGTTTCCACTAATATACAATTCTAAGACTAGTGCTATAACTTGTACATACATGTATTATAATCGTTATTTGATAAAAGATAATTTCAAATGCTTTTGGCTACCTACAATATTAGCTTGACTTCTTGATTTTATCTCTGGCTACCAGGAAAAAATACTTGTAGCCATATGGCTACTTGATAAAAAATTGAACTATGTAATTATGTAACACATCTTTGCCACATGGCTGGTTAATAGCTAAGTTAATTGATAGTGTTACATTGGAGGAGCAATGACTTTCGTTTTCCAAGACTGAACAATCACCAGCTTACAAGTCAGGTTGGGAATTTTCTGTTGTGAATTTCATCCTGTATTTACCCTTCTTAAATTATTTTTTTCTCTTAACTGTTTAATGAGTGAGTAAACTGAGCTTAGCTTCTCACAGTAATACTGCTATCATACACTGGTGGCCTGGAATGTTTGTAATGCCTTCACAAAAAGAAAAGGCCTTCGTTTCTGGCAACACACACACCCTGCAAAATGTGCTCACTGAAGAAAGCTTTTCACAAGCTTTGATATTAATATATACGATAAAAAAACTATATATGCTCCCCGAGTCAGACTGCCTGTCTATCCATCTATAATCATTTAATGATTTGGATTAAAAAAACAAAACAAAAAACTCTCCCTTAATACCCAACTTCAAATAACAATGTCACATTGCCTTAAACTAGAAATAACCATCCATTACATAATTGAATGAAACACCACGATGCAAAAAACATTACTAGTCCTTCAGAATGCCGCAAGACTCTTAGTATTACAAGCCTATATGTCTGGTTAGTTGGGGGTTAAGCAGACTAACCTGTTAATAATTGCATTATGTGTATGGATAAAATCCTTGCCACCGAAGTATGTCATCACACTTACACAGCCAGGTCAGTGAGGAGAGAGAGCAGATCATCAAACTACTAGTACTGTCCATGCTCGGGCATACTTGCCACCCAGTACCTAGTCGGCGGCCATGTTTACTCTGAAAATAGGTTTCACCATGACATTACCTGGTTTAATATTTTGAAATAGTTGGAATCAGGGATCGGCTGGTGTTAAAGCATCTTAAACAATGAGTAGTCAGTAACTGTTTGTTGTGTTTGTTTTCTGTTGTTTAGTGCCACAATAAGCAATATTTCAGCTATATGATGGCAGTCTGCAAATAATCAAGTCTTGACAAGACAATCCAGTGATTCACTATATGATCATCGATCCAAGCTATTGGTATGTGATGACATGCATCAACCACGTCAGCGAGTCTGAACACCTGATCCAGTTTTGTTATGTACAATGTCACAACCATATCATTACTTTTAAAACTTTTTAATGTATGAGTGCAATTGTATCGTTGAATACCTTGTGTACTGAAGCCAGGACCCTGTAGCCATGGTAGCCTATGAATTATTACTTCATCAAGAATATAGAAATTATTTGCAAATAGCATACACTATCTTGGCAATACATGCTACTGAACTGAAAAAACATAATTCCTAATTAGACATGGTCATGCACTAATGCACACTACAATTGACAAGGTGTAATTAGCCTTGTCATTGTTGATTGACTTATCAATTAATGAGCCAGCAGTAATTGTTTGGCTAATCTCTATGCTTCTTCAAATAATGGTGCAATGTTTGGGCAAAAGTTTACCATGGCAAACCAAGAAACTTTGTGTTTACAGAATTCATTTTAGATTATTTTCACAGCCTATTTCAATGATGACAAACTATTTGACAATATATTTCTGGTTGAATGAGCACAATGATTATGCATTAATTAAGTCAGTTGATGTCCAACCGAAAAATATATCTTATTTAATCTATAATCATATATATCTGTAAGCAAAGAATGAAAACAAAACATAAGCTTCGTAAATCTCACAACATGTGCAAGTTTGTCTGCTAATATCATGTATATCCCGCAAGATTCCGTCACTATGGCAATTTAACACAATTATCCAGATGCGTGTGACATCCGTCGACAACCTTCTCTGAGTATGTCATCTACATTGCTGTGAAAGATAGTGTTACAGAATATTTGATTCAAGTGCAAGCCGGTTAGTGGAATATGAATCATGATCAATCAAATATGGGTCATGCTCGTCATATTAGAGATATGCACGTCTATGAATAACTGGGTCATAAAGCCGAAGTAAAACGTGTCTGTTGCCCAGGATCAAAATATGACAGTCATAACTTACCATGCATTTACAAAATCAGTGCAATGGTATTCGTTTTAAACTTTCCTGCTAAAAACACTAGAAACTTTCAGCCATTTTCCGGAAGCAGGTGCGTGGGACGTACGCATGCGTGTGTCCCGAAATGACCTTTAATTTGTATCCGGGTCATAAGAAAGGTTGGTAGCGATCGGATCGCATCCACTGCGCTCCTCATGCGGTCCATTCAAAGTTTGTTTTGAGAGTGGTACTTATGCGATCAGACTAGCACAGGTGCTCGACATGCCGAGAAGAAAACAGAACTACCCGAAACGATTGAAATGTAAGTAACAAACTGTCATTTTGTGTGTGTTGAGTATATTACGATCGAAGCTGGCGCGAGACCCGGTTGTCTAGCATGTCAGTAGCTGTCAGTCACATGTGCTGTCACCAGACACACTTTGTTTACTGAGTGCAGATCGCGCTAACCATTCTGCTTCGCATTATTTGAGGTAGATTCTTGACTCGAATGTCCGAGTTTTTCTGCTGTGTTCTAGTAGGTCAGGAGCCTGTGTTATGTCGAGGCGAGCGCGACCATCTGCTATTTGTTCTGGGGGCATCAATCAAGGTTCTCATTGCCGCTGTCAATCAGCTGTCACACGGGCTTTGTGGCGCCCAAACAATCAATCTCCTCGCGCATCAATCATCCCCGCTTTTATTGTAAATGTATTTGCTCAACAGTGCAAACAAAGACGCCCGGCTCGCCTTTGACAGCTTGCAAGATATATTGGCTAACTCTTACATTAGATAGAATGATAAGATGACATTTGCAGTCATAATGAGAGATGTGTAACTTTTTGCATGTGTAATGATGTAGTTCAGAGGGGAGCTGTTGTCAAGTTGCCAGGGCCGCTAGAATAGATGGAATTCATTTGGTTGTGTAATGAGAGATGCTAATTGGCGCGTGATTGATGGCTAGTGTTATCAGTCAGAGGAGAGCACAAATAACGTCATTTATTTTTCATACATGTCAGCCACTCGGCCATAAATAATACTTAATGAAGAAAATTCCCCAGCAAGGCCAAGTGGGGTGGTTTTATCTACAGCTTCAGTATTTGATTTGCATGTGACATGTCGGAGTCTAGCAGCTGTCATCAGCAGCCTGTCCGTCTCACGCAAGTGACAATGCATTTTACCCATATGAGGAGACAAGTAACTTTTTGCAAGCAGCCCCAAGTACCAAACAATGCTGGTATGGATTTTCTTTCATTAGAGAGACCCAGGGGTGGGGGCTGGACCGAAATAGACGAAAGATTTATGTGAGCATCTGAAGTAATGGATTACCGGTCAGGATGAATTACTTCAAATGACAGGTTGCTATTTAGCCGCTCAGTCTCTCGGGGCCAGCTGCTCCTCGCAAATTTATTTTATATCTAACGTGTTGCTCATAAATCAATCAGCCGCTTGACTTGGTGTTCAATGGCATTGATCTAGCTGAAGCCTATATCAGTCCCCAGAAAACTGGGAGTCAGGAAGGGGGAGGGGCCAGTGGGGGGAGAGAGGGATGCTTGACACCTCTACCTGTTTTTCATCCCCACATTCATTGAAGAAGTGGTTGGGTGCTGTGACAGGTATCCCATTAAGTGTTTGTGATTTATCGTGATCGGTGGTGAACTTGTCTCCCAGGCTGGCAACTAGCTAAAGACGAGAGATGTACATCGCACAAACGCTATTACATGCCATTATGTGATATTGACAATCATCAGCACATGTAAATCAACACAAGATGCCAGAGAAATACACTTGCAAACTTTGTGTCTAGACACACGTCAGTCTGAAAGAAATAAAATGTTAAAGACCAGAAAAACATGGCTTCTTTATCAGTCAGTAATCTAAGGCTAAATAGAGAAGCTGAGGTGATGTGTGACTCGTAATTAGCGCTTACACCACCATAGCACTTGAAACTAATGCGGGATGGCGTTGTAGGAAGCGAATTCAGCAAGGAGACAGGAGTTGCCACAGGCTATCTAGACTGATTTCTGTTAGATGAAATAGAATTACCAGTGCATACAAGTGTAATTTACTTTCCTAGCTAGGGGAAGGCTGAGCAAGACTGGCAGTCACATCAGAAGGCGAGACAGCCCACTTGACAGACTCACACTGACAGATCACTTCCAAAAGCTTCATAATCTCCAACTACAAGAAAGAGAGCACATTTTTGGGATGTTTTAGCAAACCCAAATCTTTTATAATGGCATTTTCCGGTCAGTCAAGAAGGGACAATACTTAATGATGTATTAACGAAGAATGATTGATAGTAATTGACAGTTGTTAGAAGCAGGCATGTTTGCAGGCGGCCCCAGTCTTGCTCTCTCGCCCGTTTTTCTTTGGCACTTAACCAACTTAACTGATCAGGGTCCTACGCTTTGCAAGAAGTAGCCCTAGAATCAGAAAACAATGAATATCATCCGTCATTATGGGACAGACAATTGATCATCTACTACCTGCTTGTTCCCTAGACTGAAGTTGGAAACATGGATTTTCTGCTCCTTGCAAGAAAAAAATAATTTCCGCATCAGGAATCTTATTTTGGATTAACGACTTGTTGGGTATTTATTTATTTATTTATTTATCTTATTTTGGATTATTTATTTATTTATTTATTTATTTATCATCGATGTATGTACCAGTAATCCATCATTCAGGTAACAAAGCACACTTTTCATGTTTGTGTCTTTCTGATAATAAAATTACCTACTTGTGTCTATTTGCTCAACTGCATACTACGAATATCCATTATTAATTTTTATTATCATTGATGTTATTTTTGGTCAAGGAACATCTAAGTATTATTTTATGGTTTGGTTCTGTTTTAAACACTCGAATGTAAGTGTATATAAAAAAATTATTATGAACATAATGATTGCTTGGTAGAAAGTAGCTTACTTATCAGCTCCCATTTTGAGCGTGAGACGTCATCAGATTCCTCTCATCATGTGTTCAGTAGCTTGTTCCCTGTTTATCAGTTGTATTTTAATTGCTGATACCACTCACAAGAACATATATTTTAATTAAATGTTAATTATATCTTTTAATATAATTGCAAGTTTGATATCTTTGAACTTTGAGTGTAACTTTGTTATCCCCGCTTGATACATGTTATTTCTCTTTACTGATATTTGATTTTCAACAAATTACTAGTCAGTGTGTTTAGATTTAAAACATTTAGTAGGTAGTGGAAATAGGAGTATGCTGCTCATGATAGGGCAAAACCTGATTAATTATTTGTGTTAGAAGTACCCTCGTTAACCTAGTGGTAATGGCTATCAAGGCTTCGATGCTGTTACTGATGTTGGACATAGGACGAAGATGAACAGTGATCCAGTCGGATCCAGAGGACAGTTTTGGGGGTCAGAACCATTCCAACTCCCACACCTTTCATTTATATTTTGGTTATGCACCTATCAGTGAGTTTTTTGCATCTCAATGGATGTATCACAAAATTGTAATCTGGACTCCAAAGTTAAGTGTATCATTGTTTATCATTATCTGACGATGATAATTATGAGGAAATCTCCATGGCTTGCTTACCATGATTTCATTGGTAATGGTTGACTTTTCAGTGTTGCTGACAATAATGATGATGATTATAAAGATGATTATTATGAAAATAAAGAAGAAGATGATAATGATGACAAGGGTGATGATGATGATGATGATGACGATGACGACGATATTGATTGTTTATTGTTTATTGTTTGCTGTTTAATGCCACACCCAGCTATATTGTAACTATATGATGGAGGTCTGAAATAATCAAGTCTGGATTGACCAGTGATTGACTTCATGAGCATCGATCCACTCAGTTGGGACATGCAATCAACTAAGTGTGGTTTTGTTGCCTCTTACGACAAGCATTGATGATGAGGAAGATGATGATGATGATGGTGGTGATGATGATGATGATGATGATGATGATGATGGTGGTGGTGGTGGTGGTGATGATGATGATGATGATGGTGGTGGTGGTGGTGATGATGATGAAGATGATGATGGTGGTGGTGATGATTATGGTGGTGGTGGTGGTGGTGATGATGATGATGATGGTGGTGGTGATGAGGATGGTGATGGTGATGATTATGGTGGTGGTGGTGGTGGTGATGATGATGATGATGGTGGTGGTGATGATGAAGATGGTGGTGGTGGTGATGATGATGATGGTGGTGGTGGTGATGATGAGGATGGTGATGATGAAGATGGTGATGGTGGTGGTGGTGGTGGTGATGATGATGATGGTGGTGGTGGTGATGATGAGGATGGTGATGATGAAGATGGTGATGGTGGTGATGATGATGATGATGATGATGATGATGGTGGTGGTGGTGGTGACTTTAATGTTATTCTGCTGCTGGAGAAGTGTATCAGCATGAAGCGTGAATGATGTTGATGATGACAGTGATAGAAATAGTGTTAACACCTTGAGCCTGTTCACCCCACCTGGGATGCACACACCAATGAGTAGATCATCAGTTCAAATAGTGTTACCATGGTACATGTGATACATTACATCCACCTTGGCACCCAATATGCAACATTCTCTGGGTAAAGTTATTCTGACAATATGACAATCTTCAATCAATTTTTTGTGCATTCTTCCTTATTGATAACCATTATATTCATGATACACTAACAAGATAACATTTAATTTTTATTGACTAAACAGATGTATATAGGCTGCAGTTTTCATCTCGTCATCTCTGTTGCCTGTTGGTTTAGATCAGCCAAAGAGCAACCATTCTTATTGTTCTTACACATGCAACAAGTATAAAGTCTTGAGGAAATATTGATTTTTTAAAATCTTTTTTTTTGTCAGCAGTGAAAGAATATATGGTTTTCCAGTATTGTGTTGATATTTCAATTATCTTTGACTTTAGCCTTAAGGCAGTTAAAGGCATCTGTAATCTTTCCAAATGTATTCACACATTAGTATTTATTAATGTTATACAACACTGAAAGTGATAACAATATTTATTCTTTTGTGATGTTATTTGTGTGGAATTAGTACTGTGATTCTAGATTACTGAGATGGCATGAAACATCTTACCTAGACAAGGGAGTTAACTGACTGTGAA